GAGGAGCCATTCGACCGGCGCGGGAAAAATAACGGCGCGCAGAGCCACCCCCTCGCCGCCCCCGGACCACGAGCACCGGTTTTATTTTTAAGATTATCGTCATCCACGTTCTTCCGAACGATTCGTGTTTCCACCGTTTCGCTAGAATGCATTTAAAACGACCCCGCTTGTCGAGGTGCGCGCTTCGCGCCGATATTTTCCGCGCGAAACGATGAAACGGCCGCAAACAGTCGCCCCTAAAAGTATTCGGACAGCGAACGCGCGAAACGGACGCGCTATTTTATATTTACTTTAATTAGTCGGTTGTCTAAGGTTTTTTACCAAATGCACAGCAATCTTTTCCCAGGAATATTCGGAGGTCGGAATTGAAACCGGCAAATCCGAGAATACCAAGTCGCGAATACTGGAATACTACTCTTCGAGCCTCGCTGGTCGTTTTTAGAGAAATTCGAGGCAGTCGGCAAAAAAGAAGGCAGCTGCCAGCATACCGGTGTACATTGATATAAATTATCAATTGAAATTAATATGAATTAATCAATTATTATTAATACGAAGTTCATCGTAGCCGAAGAGAGTAACAATCGTCGGTCGAAAAATATTCGCATCGCTGCAAAAATCCCAGCAACAATTCGCACAATTTCTTAACCCGGCTGTGCAAGACAATGGCGTCTATCAGTGCCGGCGCACCGGCTGCGTTATTTCGCCGACCCTCCGTCGTTCAAGACACTCGGTATATTAAACTTCTTCATTGACACGGCGACGAGGTGAATCGCGACAATGAGCGACGATTATGCAAAGAGCTTTTGAAGCACGCATGTCAGACGCAGAGTCCCCCACGGTTTTCCAAGCCCTCTCTCTCTCTCTCTCTCTCTCTCTCTCTCTCTCTCTCTCTCATTTGCTCACTGACACCCTCTTATTCTCTCTCTTTCTCTCTATCACTCTCTTATCCTCTCTCTTCCTCTCTATCACTCTCTTATCCTCTCTCTTCCTCTCTATCACTCTCTTATTTTTCTCTATTTCTCTCTCTCTTTCTGTCTCTCTCTCTCTCTCACTCGCCCACTGTCACTGTCTTATTCCCTCCCTCTCTGCTTCGCTGACAGCAGAGAAGAGGAAAGCCCGGTGGAAACGGGTTACGTCGCGCGATTGTTGTCCCGCGATTAATTAAAGTCCCCGGCGCGGCGGCCGGCGGGAATTTGTTCGTTTGCTTCTTTGTTCGGAACGCGGCCATTCAGCCGGGTCAATTTCGACAACAACGGCGCCGCTCTCGGCCAATAACCGCGCCCGCTTTCTTTCATGTTTTATAACGACCGCGTCAAAATTCCTAGAGCGGCGTGGGCGGACGAGCAAGGGGCGTAGCAGGAGAGGAGGGCGCAGCGGCGACGGTCGCAACGGAGGAGAGAGAGAGAAGAAAAAAAGAAGCGTCGTATCCACCCGGAAATGGTTAATTGAATTTCGTCAAGTCCCGGTGACCTCCCGCGGACTTTCCGGACAATTTGAAATTCAATCGAACACCGAATTCGATCGAATTAAACTTTCGCCCGGGGATCCCCGTCGTTTCGTGTTTCATTGTGCGGTTCGACGGATGCTTCATCAAACTGCGGCCGTCTCCGTGAAAATAAAAAAAAAGCACCGGTTTTGTTTTCGGGCGACGGGCTTTCGGATCGAATTTCCGCGTCTGTTTCCCTTCCCAAGGTTTTCATTTCCATCGAGAATTTGAAACGTTTTGACTGTTATCTTTTTCCCCTTTTTCGTTGCGAGCCTCTGCTTTCGCGACCTTTCACCTATTCGAACGAAGCGAGGGGGGGAACGGTGGTCGAAGAAGGAATCGGAAAATTGCGTCTGACGATTGCTACACGTACGCAAAAAATAACCCCCTTAAATAATCCCCCCAAAAACTACCCGCCTGAATATCGCCCGAAGAGTCGCGATTTTAGTATTCTCGGATTTGCCGGTCTCGATTCCCGAACATTTCTGGAAGAAATCACCGCAGCCCGCGCGTTATTTCGAAGACGCAAAGGTAAGAATACACCGCCGGCGACCGGATATTTCCGACGGGGTACAATTTATGCGTGGAACCGTTGAATTCCGGGGGCGCGAACGTGTCGCCGCGCCATCACGATTCCCGCCATAAATCACGCGGGGCGAATTAACGTTTCGCCCGGGACCCGGGACCCCGGGACAGGGGAGAAGAGCGAAATCTTGGGCAGTCCATTTCGAGAAAACACTCCGGTAAATAGCGCGACCCCGGCTATATCGTATATCAACCCCCTTGATAACAGGGAAAGTCCGCGCGGCACGCATTATTTTGCCGCGAGAGTCTGCGACAGGGGAGGAGGGTGAGAAGAAGAATAGGGTGGCCGGCGCGGGCTCCATTAACATATTCATACTTAATATTCTAGCCGCGACGTCCAACGGCGACGTTCGCCCCCGTCCGGATTTATATTGGCCGAATATATACACGATTACTCCCTACCCCTCCCGCGCGACCGGAAATCGCAATTGACTGCGACTTCCACGAGCAGTTTCCTGCCGATTCGTCCCCCTCGTGTTTCTCCTTCGACGGAATTATCGGGTCCGCGATTATCACCCGGTTTTCTGCGGTAGAAACCGCTCGGGTACGTGAGAATCGTGATTTTCAACCGGCCCGGGCTGCTCGCTCGAAATTACGGCGAAGTCTCCCTGATCGACGGCTATTTCGTTGGTAACTACGAGGATAGTCGTATGAAATAACTTTTTATTTTTTTGAGACTGCCAGACTTCTTACAACTAAATTTATGCATCTGGTAGTGCGGTGCAAACATTTACAGTGATTCGTGAAAGTGTTAAGTTCATGAACAAGCATAAAAAAAGTATAAATAAGTATAAACAAGTATAAGTAAGTATAAGTGAGTATAAGAGAGTGTAAGCAATTTGTAAGCAAGTATAAGCAAGTATAAACAAGTATAAAGCAAGTATAAGCAAGTATAAAGCAGTATAAAGAATTATAAGCAATTTATAAACAAGTATAAAGCAGTATAAACTAGCATAAAACAGTATAAACTAGCATAAAGCAATATAAACTAGCATAAAACAGTATAAACTAGCATAAAGCAGTATAAACAAGCATAAAGCGGTATAAACAAGCACAAATAAACCTAAAACAAGCTAGTCTTAAACAAGATAGTTGTACGTTCGTCTTTACAACGTTGAAAGAACATTTACAGCACTTCGATAATAATAGTAAGTTCCTTAATGAATTTTGGATCAGAGATAGGAATCTTTGAATATTCTAATATCGGGCCGTTTTAATCAGGAGGCCTATCGATCAAGATTGGAGGATAAGTAATGAAACCTGGGCTTCCAAAAATATTGGATTAAAAAGATCAAAGGGACACTTGATCGATGAAGGAGCACTCGAAGTTTCTCTCGTTCGAGAATCCTCCGGCGATGTCCCCGCGTCATTGGCTTAATCAAAATTCCTTTGTCAATCAGCTGAAAGTTTCGCCGGCTGGCCCTGATAAGAGCCAGCTCCTTTAATGATCCCCATTTTAAAGTTACATTGTTAGCAGCGAGCCTGGATGAAATTACTCCGGCTATCGATCTTATGTGTGGCAGAGGGAACGCAGGCCTCGGAGGCATCGCCGGACCCATGATAGTTTATCGCAAACACTAACATTGTTGCGCCGGCCGATATATTACCCGCAAATTCGATCGCACTAACAAACTATTGTATTAATTAATTAATTAATTAATATCGAGGACTCGATTCAATTTTATCCATCGATCTAACAATTTATTTACATTGTTACCAACGTCGACGTTGTTTCCAGCGGGAAAATTGCGTAGCCTCGTAACGAGAGCTCGAACCATTATTTATAAACCGCGGTTTACATTCGATGTGCGTTGTTAAAATTTTTTTTGAAATCTCTTATATAATAGTATATAAACGAACAATGTAACAGCGCGTTATTAAACTTGTTTAAGGATCTTTAATAATACGGTAGGAATAATGGTATTTTAATTTGATTTAATAATATAATTATAATTATAATTAAAGTTAAATAATTCAATTTTTAAAGATTACGTTTCTGCGAAATGGAGTAAAAATACTTCCCAGAGATTTAATCGAAAATCAAATAAGAAAAGTCTTCGTATACGTAAATATTTAGGGAATAATCAAGAATAGATTGTTAACGATGACGATTGTTATTAACGATTGATTTTTCTGTGTTAATTTCAATCTATTTTCGTACAGCTTGCGCCGCGAGACTTTCGAGATATCGTTGCTCTCGATTATAATTACCCGATCATTATTCGTTAAATAAACAAGCAAGAGAGCCTGTAATCAATGGATATTTCCCAGCTATATAGCATGTAATATGGATCGTTACAAATTTCCGTCGTCGTGTAACGCATTTTTCCGTGATGTACAACTCCAGCTCTGTAAAAATATCGATACAGGTATAATAATCGTTGAATTTTCATATGTCGTACGCTGCTGTGCCTGTAATCATGCTAAACGGAGCATGTAAACTGACAGGCGATAAAAAATTGAACCCTCGTCCTGAACGTTCTTTGGTCAATTTCTCGCGACAACATGTTGCTCATACATTTCAATGAGGATTCTCTAACGGGTGGTGTGAAGGGAACGCATATCCCTTGCCTCCATAAGGTTAGAATCTCGCCAAAATTCAAATTCGTACTTCTATTTCGCGCAATTATCAATCGAACGTTGACTATTATTTATTATTTCTTTTTGACATATTGCTATATTATTATATTATTATGCCATTATATTGCTATATTATTATATTATTATACTATTATACTATAATACTATTATGCTATTATACTATAATACTATTATACTATTATATATATACTATATAATATTATTATATTATTATATTATTATATTAATATATAATATAACATAAATATATATAATATACTATAAAATTTCTCAAGTTTCAGATAGTTAGGATGTTTCCTCTAAACATATACGAATTTTTTGTTCGCAGAACTGACGTAGAGGCGACATCAGGGTCTAAAAGCGGCACATTGAAATTCATACGAACCCTAACGAATATTACAAGGGATGCCGGAGTGGCGGCTAATATGAGATGCGAGGTCGTCGGCGATCCTCCGCCAACCAGGATCAAATGGTTCAAGAACGAAGCGCCCCTCGAGGAGAGACGGCCGAAAATCACTATCAAAAAGATCCACGCACAGGTACGTCACCCGAAAGTTCGTCGAAAAGATTACTTGCTATAAAATGTAATGAATTGAACGAATACGAAACGAAGATTCACAGTCCAATGATAATTATCGAACTACAAATGAATATTGATAAATTTTATATTATATTATATTATATTATATTATATTATATTATATTATATTATATTATATTATATTATATTATATTATATTATATTA